TGTTAAAAAGTAATGGCTGTAAGCTCCACTTGGTAGTGAGGCATTCAAACTAACCTTAGCAAGGCATCTAGAAGTTAAGAAACCTATCAAGTTTAGTTTTAAAAGCCAGCGGCATCGTGTTTAAAGGTTGAAAACTGAGAAACTATTGAATCTTCTGATAAGGCAGAATCTCCTAATATTCGGAACTTTGCCCAGCTTCTACACTTTCAAGTCCCGTCATTCTCTTCTTGACTTTTGGTCTGGGTGTGTTTATCATGGTTACTTTATGTCTTTGAAACTCCATCTCATCCAAGTTCACCCACAGTTTTCAAATCATCATAGTCAGACAGTCTACACATAAAGCTTGCTCCCTTTAGAAGACGTACCCATGGATTTCTGTCCCTCCGCCAGGTAGAGCCAAGAGTCTTCAATCACCTTTGAGGCAGTTCTTGAGCTACCCCTAAGTTTAAAGAGGAGAAAATCTTTGAAGAAAGGACAAAAGGAGACCCCTGGAGCAAGATAAATTCCCATGCCCTACATCCATATGCAGCCTGTTATCCCCAGAGTTCCTTTCCTCCCTTGTTAATAGTGTTCCCATCATCTCTGTACTTTCTGCCTTCATCTGATCACAAATGATAAAAAATCACCAGTTACAGGGAAAGGCTATGTTGTCCCAATAACAAATTGGCCACTGCAATGTACTGAAATCTCTTCATGTAAACAATATATTCATACGTGTACAGCAAAAGGCTTCTTAAACAATGAGGAATCAATTTAACATGAAGAATAGAAATAGAAATAGGAAGAAGAGGAAGTGAGAGAGGACAAAGACAGTACTATGTTCATGACTAATGAATCCCAGATTCTTTTTTTTTTTTTTTTTTGAATCCCAGATTCTTATAGGAATCCAACCTCTTCACTTTCAATTAAAACTTAAAACTTACATGAGAGTTTGCATTCAATCTCGCTTTTTATTTCTGTCACCACTGGGACATGTTCCCTTGCATCCAGCTGGGAGAATATTTTCACATCACTAAATATAGTCTTTTGATTTCGAAGTGATGAAACTTCAAACAAATCCCACAGATATATGAGCCAATGAGTAGCAAAACTGGACCAGAAACAAAATCTTCAGATGTCGATTGTGCCCATTTGACAACCAAATATCTCCTAACTACCCATTACTAGTTAACTATCTGGCAATTGATTGTATACTGCAGGGCTCACTTGCACAGCAATACCTCTTGGAAAGTCAGAGCATCTCATCTTTGGGAGAAGAGAACAGACTTTAACATCCTATTGAACTCTACTGTACTGGATTTTTCCCATAAGATAACATCTCACTTGTGGAATTACACTAGAAGAAAGGATAGACAGACAGACAGACAAATAGATAGATCACACTTCTTAGTAAAGCTTGCATAAATTATGACAGGAAAAGTGTTGATAATAAGTTGAAATACTGAGCAAATTACTGGCAAACTTACCATCCCAGTCAGTCATGGCCAGATCTGAGGTATTCAAAGAGTGTTTATAATTAGTATGTTTTACATCTCAGTTGCCTTCATTTTTGCATTTCTGATTTGTTTACTTGAAGGCGTTAGATATCAAGAAACCAAAGGAGAAAACCAGAGACCAAAGCATGTCTTTTGCCATGAGTTACGCCTGCCTCCTGGAAAAGTCACAATTCCATGCAGAGCACATTACAGTAAGGTTACTGGTGAAGTCAAAAGAAATAAACCATTTATATTAAGAATGATTTTACTGCCGGGCGGTGGTGGCGCACACCTTTAGTCCCAGCACTCGGGAGGCAGAGGCAGGTGGATCTCTGTGAGTTCGAGGCCAGCCTGGTCTCCAAAGCGAGCTCCAGGAATGGCGCAAAACTGCACAGAGAAACGCTGTCTCGAAAAACCAAAAAAAAAAAAAAAAGGACTAAGAATGATTTTAAGTTTCAGACTTCAACATAGTACAATGCTGCTTTAAATCTTGGACCACACATCTCAAATACTTAATGCTGATGTTCAGGATATTTTTAAAATGTTCCATCCTGAAAATTAAGGTCATCTTCTAAAAGCATCCATAAGGCTGCTCAATAACCATGTCCAGAGCTGTAAACTACTGCTGCTACCAATCAGGAGCAAATGATAGAAATGTGGGTCAATTACTGTGAACAATAACTGCTTCTTAAAAGCAGACATCTTATGCTCAACTTGGACAACTCCTCCCTAATTTTCGTTAGTGTCACTGTTGCCTAAGTTACAAAGAAATAAATATTCATTCTTTCACAACAGTGAACTCATAAAAATTATTTCATTCAGCAACATGCCACCTGAAAGCTAATTTTGTACAGAAAGCTATTCTTTATATACATACTAGTGATTTGTATGTGTACATAATCAATGCATGTTATACAGTAAAGTGACAGTTTTCCTAGTTGTAGCATTTTAAAATGAGAGTTATAGCACCTTAACTATTTCTAAAAAACCTCTTACATGGGCATTATTTTAAAATATTTTCAACATCATTTTATCTTCAGTCAACAAGGTACTAAGGTTATCTTAGACCACATCATCACACATTATTTTATAGTCATCAAGTCCACATTTTCATCATCTCACCCAATGGCAACAACCACCACATCAATTGACTGTAAAGTGAGTTCAAATGGTAACATGTAAATACACATGAAAATTCAGAGGGAAGGCCCTCCAGAGGCTGCTCTAAACTCAAGAAGAAAGGAGGAATGATTTCAGCAGTGAAAGAATCAGCAGGGACAGAAAAGTGCCAGCTCTGATTAGAAGCCTTGAAAGAACTAACGCCAGCATCTCAAGGTAAAATGGGATTTTCAATAACTCACCCTGCATCGCAATGCTTGTAAGTGTTGAGAGGTGATTGGAGGGCGAAACAGAAGTTGACCTTTTCTCAGTGAAGTAAAAGGAGAAGTTCATCCATTGAACTGGAAGCTTTTAGTGGAGTTACTGGAAGACAAAGCTGCATGCTTGAAAGGAACAGAAAGTGCAGAGTTTTACAGCTTTATCAGGGAAGGTGCTTCAATCAGTTTGCATTTGATTGAAACTCAAAAGAATTCCTGCAGAACCACTGAACTCACTTTTAAGAGTCAACGCTTCTCATAAATTTCTCTTTATTGAATTCTACACACAGAAAAAAAAATTGCAAAATGCATTAAGTCCTTCAGAAAATGCTACTGCATTGTGTAGCCTATCAAAGCCTATTAAAAATTACCCCTGAAAAAGGAAACATTAAAATGTGGTTTGTGAGGTATTAAAAGAAGTATGCCTTACATTGAGAATTGCACATAAAATAAAACCCATCCCTCTTTCCAAGCAACTTTTCCTTTTCTCTCATTCTATGAAATTTACTGCAAAAGTCTCAAGTCTACTTCATATTGCATTATCTGACTTGATCATGAAATTCTAGTTTTTCAAAAGTAAATTTAAGAATCAATGGTAGTTCTGGAAAGGAACATAGTCCAGGTGTTAAGTGAAAGGTTATTTTTTTCAATATATTAAAAATATTAAAATAAATTACTTTTCTCTGAGTCAACTAGCTTCTGAATGCATCTTTAAATCAGCAAGAATATGATAAGAACCCTGAAAGGCATCCAGGGTTAGAAGGACAACCAACAGCAAAGAACAAATCAAATGTCATGTTCATCTCTGGCTCCTGGCCAGGAGAAATCTACAACTGCAGCACAGTGGGAGCAGTCCAATCACAGAAGCAGGCTGGGCTTCCTAACTTCAAGATAACTCCACAGTTGTTAACAAGCTTCAAATCCAGTTTGAGGAGCTTGCTGTCCTGAGAGTAGCTGAAGAACACTAGAGGAGTTCACTTTGGCTATATCCCAGGCCACAGAATCCAAGATACCACAACTGTCACCAGGACAAAACCATCTTGGCTTAAATGTCAGTAGAAAATCTCCTGATAAAATTAGATGGCACCTTAGAGCATGCCACACTGAGTAGAACCCCTCTCCTGCCTCAGTGACATGCAGATTCAAGATGTGGCTGCGTAGGCACAACCCCAAGTATCCCTCTAAACTAGCCCTGCAGGTACCATCATTATCACACAAACTTGGAATTGAAATGATTGTATAAACTTTTGTTTTCACTGATGGCCACCTATCAGGCCACCCCTCCAAGACCTATACCTCGACAAACATGGAAACCAGTAGACTTACCCCTCAGTGTAATCTGTGTTCAACTGGCATGGCATAGGAAAGGTCTCCTTTACAGACCATGGTCCTAGGAATTCAGCAGCTTATGAAAAATACCTTAGGGACAGAGAAAAACCAATATTTTTATTTAAAACAGGTTGATTATAAATGTGATCTTTTTCTAAAAAAAAGGGGGGGATATGATATAGATATATAGGATATAGCGATGATAAGATAAAAGGGTAGATTAATGAACCTACTTTTAAAGAACAACCTGTTTAAAATGTTTTACATTGGTATAAATTTTAGTTTATTGATGCAAACTTAAAGTTAATTTTGTTATCCTGTATATATATTTCTATTCTTGTTTGAGGTATTATGTTTATGTAACTCATTTAAAATTGTAATAGATAATTAAAAATAGATTAATAATTAGTCATCTATGATAATCATATTTGTAGCCATGTTAGTTAAGTCTTCTAGATATACATAGATATAGTTCAGATAGATAGGTAGTCTTCAAACACTTCAAAGACCTACAGA